GTATCTGTTGAACGTATGCGACTAGATTAACATCACCAGAGGCTGCTGAAATTCCGGATGCTTCTTCCTTACAGTAAATCACGAAATCTGAATAAATTAATGCTGGTGTGACACACAAACAGTGTATATTGAATGACCACCTTTTTAAAGGTCTAAATACTCGGCATAAATCTTGTCGATCCTTTTAGTATCTCACTTTTTTGTTTGATGACCTTGCATCTTCGGCTACTTTTCGTATATCATGAAAAAGCCGTGTCGTTCTGACGATCTTCGCGAGAAGTATTTGGAGAGAAATAACAAACAAAACAGCATCCAAAGTACTTTTATGCATTCAGGACATTATCAAACTGCATATAACTGGGAGGATGAAAAGAACCGGACGAAAGACTTTTACGATGATGGAACCTCCACGTTTTTCTGGTATTTCATTTATGTGTTTCTTGTTTCTTATAACTAAGGAATACTCATACTGTGTTGTGCTTGTTCATATTTGCATGTATTCTCATCTACGTTGCCTTGCTAGAAAATGGCAATTATTCTTCCGAATACAATATGAAACGGTAAGTTGATTCGAAAGAAGTGATTTCTGTCAAAGTGGCATTAGTGCGGTTATCATGGTATTTGTCTTGTTTGGAGTTTTGCATACACCAGACGGCCCGTTTCTCCGACCACATCCTGGTGAGTTAACTTTTTAACTTTTTTCATTTGTAGACATTCCTTTCAGATTACTTGTCAAACCTATCTGAATCCAAACTAAAGTATGCTGTGTTATATTTCCTTCAAAATATGTAGTGTTTAATTGAACTTCATGGTGTGTTTGAGTGGATGTAGTCATTGAGTGTTGATCGTCTTTGTGTCTAAAATCGACTAGTGTAATCTTGTTAATGCAGACATCCCACTTTAAGAGTTGAATATCCTCAAGCAACTCGAACATCTCATATATCTACGATAAAATTTAATTAGCGAGTTAGTGCTTGTTCTTTAGAATAAGTGTCTCATTAATAAGGGAAATTTACTAGTCCTGATTATTGTACATCTCGTGTATCATTTTTATGAAAACAAGTAGGGATTACGTATGTTCTGTATTATGTAGCAAGAGATTCTTATGGATTATAACCGTTCCAAACATTTCATGAAGTATCACTTGCAAGGTTACCCAGAGTTATGATGAATGTCATCGCTTCTTGAGAGGCGTAATCGAAATGACCCTCGATTCCGGTTCAGTAGTGTATCAGCTTAACCGGGGAATAGCATCTCTGTAACATGACTATCCGGTTTGGGTGTACATGTAGCTGTCATCTTCATTTCCCTCATATACGTGAAATTAACCTGCTAACAAAATGTCTTGCTAAGTCGGGTGTTGTTATAAGATTGCATTTTTACAAGGCAATCATTTCATAACACGTTCCGGATCCGACCTCAAAATGACAGAGCTACAAAGTTTGTCAATAAGTTTATAGACTGCGAGTGTTGACTATGTTAATGAAACGCTTTGCATAGACTACTCATCATCGATATGAGGCTTAGCATGAATGTGTGTCTTCACAGATTACCACTTCTTGTATCAACAGATCGGTTGAAATATTTACAAAATAAAAAGGGGCAAGTAATGAACATACAGTTGTTTGTTGACCAGTTATATGTAACTTTGGTACACAGGATCTTGTCTAATTTCATAAATATATCCTGCACTGGTGTAGTATCTAGATAGTGTAAAGTCTATTAATGATGATTTGATATACAAATGAGAAGCTTGCACATCATTCTACGGGTTATGCCTCAACATATTTTAGAAGCACCTGGTACGCTTTTCAAATAATTTTAAATAAAATAAAAAAAACGGAAGTACAGTGGTAAGCTAGTTTAAAATTACACAACCATATTAAGTAAGTTTTCTGTCACGATTTGGACTCATTTTAAGCCATGACTACTCAGGTTGCTCGGTAATGCTTTACATCTATAAAACGAGCAAGCATCAAACAATTCTGTACATAACATCAAGAAATGGTCAAATGACATAAACATACACTATCTCACCCTTATCGATCCCAACCCTTTCCCAGTCTTTTGTATCAGTCAGCTTTAAAAGCTGTGGAAGGTGGTCAGTAAAAATGAATTTCATGACTTGTGGACCTCTCTTTGTGGGTTCAAAGCTTTGTACACTAATTATAATTGAGTTCATCTTACTCAACCCGGTAGTCTTTACGTACAAATATTTCGTAAAATTTGTGCTTAAATATCTGTGACTTGACATTAGCTTTCGTTGTCGCCTTTTCACTAGCGGCAAGTGCTAGAAAGACGTTATCACTATCACAGACAACTTTTATTTGGTTGACAAATAACCAAAGCTTAAACAAGTATAAATTTGGCCTTTCAGAGTGTTATTTTCACTTTCAAATATTTTGTCCCGTTTTCTAATTATTATTATCGGCGATAATCCTGCCTACCATCCTTTGCACTTTCCGTAATTTAGTGGGCACATGGATGGCGTTTTCAAATAGATATTCGAGTGTATCACAAAGCCAATGAAATTTAAAAGAGTTTTGATGATGAGGAATAATATCTTTAGAACCGGATAGTGTCACCGTCCCCCACACAAAGTGTAGCTAAAAGCCGAGCACATAATTCTGCACTTAGTATATAACCTATAGCTGGAGTAACTGCTTTTGATATTTTCAGATTCTTTCAGATGAGTCTTAGTAAATACTAATTTGACGTTTTTACTAAGACTAATTTGACTTTTCCCGACCGAAGCTGCTACCTTGACGCGGTGGTCGGGCTTGCCTATCGTGATGACCCAACCGAGCTATATTGGCTGGAACATATGTTTCTGTAGGTTCTACCATGCCAGGCAGGTCGATTGGAGAACGGTAAGACTAAAACCAGCAACTCAAGGTCTGAGGGCGAAGTCGTACTGCTGACTGAACAGAGGTGTGACAGCAGTAAGGTGTTTCCCTCGGACAACCAGCATGACAGCGATGCTGCCTTCCCACAAGGAGGGGTGGTGTTAGAAAAGTTCGACCCCAAAGATATCACACCTCACCTTACCTCACGGGTTTCCGTCTCCGGCGGTAAGGCCCTTTGAAGAACGGAGCTAACACATTAAAAACCTTCCACGAAAAGGCCGTGCGCGACCGGCCTCAAGCAGTTGTTTCTTGGGCTCTGCGGTCACGCTCCCAGGTCGTCAAGACCAACACTAATCCAATTTCCTTTTCAGGTTCCTCAAGAAATACCCTTCCACGGTGTGGGGAGCCGGGAAGTGATATCAGCCCTCATACCCGTAACAGCACACGAATTTGACGTTTTACGAACGATAATAAAGCACTGACCCTTCTGCTAACAGACACTTATAATTCAAAACTCTCTAAGTTTCGCCACTTTTGTTAAACAGCCTTCGGTGTCTAAAAGACACAAGGGTTTCCGACAGCTTAATAGTTGTTTCTTGTTCACTAGTGGGTCCTAGTTCATATAATTATCAGAGTCGGATATAAGATCCTTGTGGGGATTCTGCGTTCTTTAAGACGTGTCTAAATTGATTCCAAATTCTGAAATTAAGACATACATGTTTTATAACTCTCCTTTGCTCAGCCTCTAAAATTTGTAAAACATTAGTCACATTACCAATGTTACTGGAAATATTTTAGTAGTGCCTTGATTGGTGCCTATGTATAATTTGTGTATGAAATATGTTCAATACACATAATTTACATATTATATCGTTTCATCAGTTATAATTTTACCTTTTTTTTCAGCATTTTGGCGCTTTATACTCTGTCTTAGCATTTTATATGAGCTTATACTAGTCTTCCTGTTATTTCAAGTAAGTAGTATGAAGTGGATTCCAGTTTTACTAGTTTTGAACGATATTTAAATGCGAACCATTTACTAACAAATATCAATTGCCCAGTGCTTGTATTGAGTTGCTTATACTCAATTCGGTGCGCAGCTACTGCTCTAAAGATTTATAAACTTGTTTTCCCAAGCATCAGGCCACTTTTGTTTATCGTATTTGGGGAAGGAAAGCCTTAATTGATCAACATTTTACCTTCTAAACTTGTGCACGAATTTCAATATTTATGCGGATTTCTATTTCTTTTCATCACTAGGTTGATTAAATGACTAATTTTATTTCGAACTCAGTTTATTACTGTGTGCTACTTAAAAAAATGCTGATTTATATTCCTCCGGCTTCATATAACTGAAATGATAAAATGTCCGTCTAAGAGTTGTACTATTGTCATGAAAAATACACTAAAACTATCATTGGTCGTTTGGATGGCTAAGGCGATAATTAATTACATGTGTCATTTGAGATATGTTCCTCAAAATACAGAGGGATATATGTCAACAGATAATGATTTACCACTAACTAATCCTTTCTAAATGGATTATAAGCTTACAAAATGTTAAAAAGTCGTATAATAACTTTTAAGTGCAAGGTTTCCCACTGATCACTTTATTTAAGCACAAAATATTTGATCAAATTTCAAGCCGTCATATGAAAGGGATGTTTTTTGTCAAAAAGATAAGTTTTACACTGAAAAATCAAAACTTATTTATTAACAACAAGCTATGAACAACGGTAAGTAACTTTTGAGGTAAAAATGACCAGTAAGACAAAAGGCGACACAATCCAATTTTTATTACTACACGTCTGCAAGATATGTCCAACGAAACTTAAAAACGTATTTGGAATTGAACTGTTTAATCATATCAGTTTTTGAAGGATTCCTCACGTTTGGTTGGAACATCAAATGAGTAATGGTAAGGTTTATGCTTAGGATATTTGATGAAAAGAAGAGGAGAGTTGTTAAGGCTATCAATCTTCACCAACCGTGGAAATGCATCCGCGTGACTGATCTGTGCTTTCGATTTTTCCACCCTTTAGGAAATAAAGAAGTGGTATTACCCTTTGCTTGCACAAAGATTAGCCTGTCTGGTTCAGGGGTTTCGATTTCAAAGGTGTCCAACAGAACATCAGGAGGTATTCTGTGCTGAGTCTCGTTGCTGGAGGTCAAAGTTGCTTTCAGTTGGATAGCATGACGCACCCAAACTTTTGAGCCAACTGACACTTCTTTTGCACGATTCGACCAGCTATCCATGTAGAGTGTTTGCCACGATAGTCCATAACAAACACACTTTAATCCAGGGTGAACAATCTTCTTTGCACCTCATGATGTCGATTGAATTGCTTTCACATCAACCTGTTTCGTCGAGGCTCAAAAGCTGGCGTCGGATGAATGGCGTCAAAGTGTGGTCGTATTATTCTGCCAAGTAAAGCTTCTGATGGAGAGACCCTGTAAATTGTTTGAGGATTTGGCACAAAACGATAGATAAGTAGGGACCTCTCTCTCTCCGGTTGTCCCCTTCTCTTTTGATTTCTTCAGAGCATTTATAAGTGTACCAACAAGGCGTTCTATTTGGCCATTGAATTGAAGATGGAATGGAGGTGTTCGGCATAATTGATTCTGTTCCACCAACGAAATTCTAAGAAGATAGCAGACGTAAACTGTGTTCCATTGTCTCTAGCTATTAATACTGGGACCTCGAAACGACTTATTAGTTGACGTAATTTTTTTTATTGTGGAGCTTGCAGTTCGATGTTCCATGAGAAGAATTTCTGGCCACTTGCTGTATGTACCAACTACCAAAAGGTAAATATGTCCATGATGTAAGCCAGCGAGGTCTAAGTTCATACGTTGCTACAGTGACTGTGGTATTGACCATGGTTGCAGCTATGTTTTCCTTGGTACTTTTGTTGCTAACGTGTATGTGGTACACGAACGGAATAGCTGCTTCAGTCGAGTGTGTAAGTGCGACCAGTAAACATAACTTCGTGCTAGTGCTTTCATGAAATTTGTTCCAGTTTGTTCTGTGTGCAACTGTTCAAGCACTGCTGGTTGCATCTTCTTTGGGATTATGACACGTTCGACAAACAGAAGCCAGTCATCAATGATTGAAATGGTCTGCGCCGGTAAAACTGCTGAAGTTCTGTGGGCTGATCTTCAATTGCCACCCTTATATGTGGAACTATTTAACTTCTTATAAGACTGGATCAACACTATGGAAGCTTCTTCGACACTACGCCATACCTGAAAGGATAGTCAATATCATAAGGAATTCATATGATGGATTAAACTGCAAGATCGTGCATGGAGTACAGCCCACAGACTCGTTCGAAGTAAAGACCGGTGTCCGGCAAGATTGCTTACTCTCACCCTTTCTCTTTCTCCTGCTGATCTACTCTACTGGATTATGAAAACGTCAACATCTGGGGGGAAGCACGGGATACAATGGACATCTAAGATGCAGTTGGATGATCTAGACTTCGCAGATGATCTGACTCTTCTACCGTACGTGCAACAACAAATGCAGGAGAAGACGACCAGTGTAGCAGCAGTCTCAACAGCAGTGGGTCTCAACATACACAAAGAAAAAAGCAAGATTCTCCGATACAACACAGCATGCATCAATCCAATCACAATTGATGGAGAGGACATAGGAGATGTAAAAACCTTTTCATATCTGGGCAGCATCATTGATGAACACGGTGGGTTTGATGCAAATTTGAAGGCGCGGATCGGCAAAGTAAGAGCAGCATATCTACAACTGAAGAACATCTGGAACTCAAAGCAACTGTCAACCAACACCAAGGTCAGGATTTTCAATACAAATGTCAAGACAGTTCTACTGTATGGGGCGGAAACCTGGAGAACCACGAAAGCCATCATCCAGAAGATACAGGTGTTTATTAACAGTTGTCTACACCAAATACTTCGGATCCGTTGGCCAGACACTATTAGCAACAACCTACCATGGGAGAGAACAAACCAGATCTCAGTTGAGGAAGAAATCAGGAAGAAGCGCTGGAAGTGGATAGGATACACATTGAGGAAGGCACCCAGATGTATCACAAGGCAAGCCCTCACATGGAATCCTGAAGACCAAAGGAGGAGAGGAAGACAAAAGAACACATTACATCGAGAAATGGAGACAGACATGAGATGAGTGAACAAAAATTGGATAAAACTGTAAAGAAAGGCCCAGGACATAGTGGAATGGAGAATGCTGGTCGGCGGCCTATGCCCAATTGGGAGTAACAGGCGTAAGTATGACTGGGTGTGGAGAAGCTTTTTTCTCTGACTTCATTTGATGACAATCAAGTGTTTTAAATGACCTCTGCTACTACACACCTTATTTCTGGATCTACTATTGAGACAATGGTCATGTCCTCCTGTCCAGGGTGTTGATCTCTAATTATTCGAGAGAGAGCGTCAGCTTGACTGAAGTATTTGTTGACTGACACTTGATATTGAGGTCATAACTCGGGAGGATTGTCGCTCAGAGCTGTAGTCTGTTAGCCGTATAAACAAGGATTCCTTTCTTAGAAAAAAATGGCAATTGAAGATTTGTGGTCTGTCAGTAGGGTAAACGTACGGCCATAAAGCATCTTATTTAATCCATTAACAACAAAATTGATTATAAGGGCTTCTTTTTCAATTTGGCTGTAGTTCCGTCCAACAGGGTTGAGCGATCTAGCAGCATGAGCAATTGGCTGCTCTGACTTGTTCGGAAGCACGTGAGATATCACTGCTCCAACTACATTACTAGGGGCAACAACAATTCCCAAACTGGGATCGAAGTGTGTTAAAAGAAGCTTTGAGCTGAGCATTGATTTGACTTTGTCGTAAGATGCTTGACATCATGCTAACCACTGCCAAGGTTTGTCTTTTGATAGTATTTCATTCAGGCGACATCTCATTTGGTGCATTTCAAGCAGAAATGTGCATTAATGACTAAGTAATCCAAGGAAGGATCTTAATGAAGCGACATCAGTTGGTGCAGGCACCTTCTGAATGGCTTCTGTGTTGGCGACCGTTCTTATCTAAGATGAAACCAAGGTATTTGATCGAATGGACGATAAAGATACAGTTTGCTTCACGTAGCTGGAAACCATACTCCATCACTCAGTTGAGAACTTGATGTAGTCGATCAGAAAGTTCACTGCCGTAACTATGATATCATCTCGATAAGCTACTGTTCCAGGTATACCTGTTAATATCTTATCTATCAGTTGCTGAAAAATGGCAGGTGCGGTCTTGATACCGAATGGTGGGCGGTTATATTGATATAACCCTCGACGAGTTTTGACAGTAAGAAGCTATCTACAATCATCATCTACTACTCCGTTTTAACTCACTCATTTGATTTGCCATCAATAAAAGTATACCAACCGGAAATTATTATTTCACGGTTACTTGGGATATTGGTAAAGCGCAGCTGAAACGTAATTATAATCGTTTTATATTTTATCGAATGAGATTATTCAAACGTATTTGAATAACTTGATGTCGGTGGGTAAAATCGCTCACAAATAAGTGCAAATAATACACTGATCTCCTTTTTGATATTTTCGACCGTTTAATACTGGTTTTAAGCTTTTTATTATGGTGATTTGGTTGTCGATTTTGGATCTTATCACTGGAGAAAAGATGTCAACTAGTATGAATTAAATTTGACTTGATGGATCGTTAGTGGTTACTTCTTTCTGGTTATCATTTCCAAAGTTCGTTTATATTACTTGTATATACATACCCTTAAAAATTGTTCCTTCATTCAATTGTTTGCTCTTTATTATAATTTTGACTGTTGTGTCTCATGTCATGGTTTTCGCTGTTGTATACTGTTTTTACATTATTCCGTTATATAGAGTGTAGACGATGCTCGTCAGTGGTTACGTTACTTAGACTCAGAGCTTGGTAAACCTTTGGAAGAAAAGGATTATGGTGGGAATTGCCGAATATACGATTGGGATAAACCAGACAATCCATGGCACAATGTCATCGTCAGTATTTAACGTGTTACATTTATTGCCAATTTTTTATAACCTATGGGTTCGTCTTTTTGTATGCTCACGTATGTATATGTCATATATGTGTTAAGGCTAATCACATGCATCCTTCCAAGTTTTTTTGTATGATTTTTTATGCACAGAAATATATAAGTTAGTTTCAGACCAATATTACAATAGTGGGCCAGTATGCACTATAATAGGGTTTCAGGGCTTCGCTGATTAGAAAAAAAAACACTATTTAGTATACAGGGAAATGTATATGTGTATTAATGTATGTGTAGTATGTATAGTCTATTAATTGTTGTTTGTGTCAGTCTGTCCAACACAATCTGTCGTTTGAACAGAATTACTTTGATTGGTGATTAGGTGTTGCTTATCTTTGTGATATTTTTGTAGTATAATTTTTAGTTGTAGTAGTGTAATGAATGAGAACATAGGTGGGGGAAACCAGGACATCTTGGTAAAATATAGAGAACGTACACTGAATACTTCGTTTGCAAATTTCCATCACTTGTCCTTCACATTCTGTATGATTCCTCAGTTCCTAATTCCTTTCTATCTTCCCCTCTATTCTCTCCAACTTGATTTTCTTAGCCCTCTGCTGCCAGGTTTTTCACTTTCGATCGATTTTACATACTACTTATGTCTGTCGATATAAGTGGCATATACCACATTAGCAGTAATGGTGTTTGCTATTATTAATGAATAAGTACGTCACATTGTAAGCTGCAGACACTGGAAAAGTGCATAAACATTCAATTTATTAAACATACTTCTTGTTTGCAATAAATAATTAATATATAAGCTTTGATTTCTCGTTAGTTATTGTCGTTCACTTTAAAGCTTTGGACTCGATTCTGTGAGCTCTGGGGTTTTTACATTGGTAATGAATATCACATTGAGGGATCTATTCTAATATCCCCTAGTTTTCAATGGTCCTACTGTTGTCAGAGTAGAACAGAAACTACTTTTCCTTTCGAGCTATTAAAATCTCTTAACAAAACGCCCTATGAAATCCTTTTTTAATGCTAAAAATCTCATATATGAAAAGCTTCATCGTAAATAGGAATCTTACTTCAATTGAATCGATTTGTCCTTATACTATACCTTCACAGTCCTTGTCATAATTTGACTGACATCCAATTAATGTGGAGTATGGCCAATTTTGGTAACTATGCCAACTTTATCATAACTAGGTGTAGACATTGCATGAAAATTAGGTATGCCTATATCTATCTATCGGCTTTTCAATTCAATTTGTTTCATCACGTAAACAGACTTTTGTTCTTATCAATATTGGTATGCAAAGATACGTTTGAAGAAAATAATAAGTGATCAGTGCTACTCTTGCAATAAAAATTGAAATGATGCTTTGTGTATTTCAAAAGTCCTGAAAAATTCTTTTCGTTCATAAAACATTTATGAGCTTTATTATTTCCAATTTAACACTAAACTGAATCAATTGTCAATAGTTAATGCGTGTTAATTGATGAGAAAATCAGGTGATTTTTAGTTTATTTCAAAAAGTTAATTCCAACTACTTATTTATTCACATTTTTGTGTTTTCTCTGTTGTACATACCAGTATACTAGTAATATGTGCCTAAATCACTTACTGAGATCTGATTGATACAAACACACACTTTGTGTAAATAGCAGTAATGGTAATTGGTCGCTTAAGCATTTGTCTATTGGTTCTTTGAGACTTCTTGTTAATCAGTACTCATAACTTTAAAGTTAAACAGTTGTCCTGTAATTGTCCTTAGAAAAATTCAGTTCATGTTTAAGATACATGACTAAAGATTAAGTAAATCTTTATTTTTGTTTTAGTGTTTAATTCCTGAACTGGTATAATCAAAATAGATAGTATGAATCTAAAAAAGTTGTTCAATGCATCTAAATCATAAACTTTTTAAATTATTAAATCATAAAATTGTGTTCTTTTGCATTGTAAATTATTTTTAGGAAACTATTAATAGTTTTTATAGTCTGAAAGTAAAGAGTGATGCTGATATTCCAAACATGTAGTCTTTAGTGATCTTTGATGTATTCCCCTCTGCTTTCTTTTTGTAGTAATTTGTTTTTTGCTTTCATAGGTCTTATCGTTTTAATTTTCTCATCACGGTTTTGTACCGTTATACAATTATGCCTATTCTATGTTATTATTTATGGTATTCCAATTAACATTTAGATTGCTCATATATTTGTTAATCTTTGTTGGTATCATAAATTTATCCACACACACAAATGTAATGTATGCTACTTTTCACTTACCCCATGATTTGTGCAGAAGTAAACTTGCTGAGTAATTATGAGAAAAGATTGCTAAAAGACACGAACATGTCTTTCCATGTATAGAATTACACTTACAAATTCAAACAAATAAAACTACAAATAATAAAATAGAAGTAAGGATCAAATAAACGTTTGATTAGTGTTATTTCTTATTTGACGCTCATAAACGATATATATATACATCAAAGTTTGTCAAAGCAGATATATCGGTTTATGGAATGTAAGTTGGAATCAGTAGCGTAGTATAGCATGATAGTGAATACATATTTAAATAAACTACATAGTCCCATAAATACAGTACCATACTTTTTTGTTGTGAACTGAAAACATTGAATTCATGATTGCTGGACGGCAAACGTTACTAAATAAAATTTATTCCTTTGTATCTTCATACTGTTGGCTAGACTTCTAAATTCATGCACTCAATCAACTTCTCCATCTGTCAGCTTCCAAGTATGATAATTGCGTTTGGTGTTCTCTTAGCTTCTACTTTTAATTGTTGATGTGTCATCTATAGATTTTTAGTTTCATCCTTGTCTTGGACATGCAAATCTGTTTTATTATTGAAGCTTTCAGGTCAAGTATTTATTTGAAAAAAAAATTATTATTTGTCTTTTCATGGTAAACGTGTAGGTTGGTCAATACATACCTTTTGAGTTGTTAAGAAATTGTTTGCAGTGTACTGGTGTTTCGATTCAATTCAGTTTGAATGAAACAGTTCTGCTGATTTTCTGATATGGTTGTATAGTCAATTTACGATCAATATTTTTTCTATAATGCAAATATTTCTACCTTTTCTCTTAATTATATACGGTTTTACAAAAGTTATCCAATAATATTTGCTTAATATCATATAATTATTGTTATTTATTATATTTAACGGTAGAATCTATTTTTTTCTATTTATGACAAATGCAAAATTTTTTACTTATTATTTTATGAAAAGTAATTACTGACTTACCGATATATATTATGCATAGTAATAATGATAATAATTCATCATTATGTAAGCCTTATTTATATATACTTATCCAACAACAACAAAAATGTACTTGCGTACGTGACTCTTCAAGTCAACATGATAATACTAGTAGTTTTTATTGTTTCATGAAAAAATATATTTAATCTATTAGAATGATTAATAAATTTTTTATTGCAAATAAGAATTAATTTACTTGTATATATCAAGTGGGTTACTGACTGTTTATATCTAGTTTAAATTCTTTTAATTCTTAATGCTACTGTAAAAACTATCTTGTGTAAATTTCATAATCAAGCTGTGCTCATTAGTTGTACACTTAGTTTATGTTTAAGTACGAAAATAATAAAACAAAGAAAACACGTTTAACCATTTGTCTAGATCTTATTTTTTTTACCAGATTACATACAGCATAAAACATTTAGCTTCATTTTTCACCATACCAACCGGATGAGTTTAATAGTAGAAAGAGAAAAGGCAGCCCAACTATTCCAGACAGTACTGCGGTATAATATTAGAAAGGTGTACCTCACACAAAACTCATCTTCAAGGATACTACTTTCTACAGAGAGAGAAAAGGTTAACCCTTAAAATACACGTGCTCCGTTTCTTCATGGATTTTCGGAGTAGGAGATTGAGTCCGAATATTACGTAGTTGATGCAGCCAAATATATTTACAAAAGGGTTGTGTGTGATTAGCGTCAGGCGTATGCGTTCTGGCCTCTTGTCACATTAATCACCATCGGAATAAGAAATGGCGCTTCACAACTAGTCTCCTTTTATGTTAGGTGCAATCGTATGGGATAAAATTATCGATATTATCATTAATTTTATTTCACTATTCTAAATCACTAGTATACTAGCAACTGATGAACTCGTAAGATAATTACGGCTTTTATCAACTTATCCAGCTTGTAATACATTTTTGATCCAATATATTTTACTCACTATATGAGTGTGTATTTTTACAATAACATAATGTGTAACAGATATTTATCGACTGTCTTGATAAAACACATTTTATCTCAAATAGTTTTTTTTTCTGGAAATCTAGTCAAAAATGGATGGTTTCGTGACAGTTCATTTTGTTGGCTGGTGGGCTAAAACATTAATCCTCCGAGATTATTGGATATGCAACGTCTTAAGTTTTGCTTTTGAAGTATTAGAATACTCATTAGAGCATCAGTTGCCAAATTTCTCAGAATGTTGGTGGGACCATGTAAGTTCGGATTTTGAATTATTACTCTTATTTTAAGCATCGATATATATACAACAAAAAGTCCGTGCTATTTCACAAAATATAATTTGGGTTTATTTTGTAATTAACTATAAATTAACATTTTCAAATTCTACTGTAAATAGTTTTTTGGAACGACTGATCATTAAGGATCTTTCATCTTCAATAGAAACATCGCACTTATTAACTACCATCGATTTTTTGATTTAGTCCTGCCTACTACTATTGTCATAAATTATTATGCCTATGATTCTGTGTTTTATTAGACTCTGTGTGTCACTGTTATTACCTGACAATTCGATTCGCTTCCTAACACTTAAAATGACCGGTTATTAAGTAGTATGGCGATTAAAAATCTTTCTTTAATGCCGAAATTAAACAGTAATCTTTGACGAGTTTCTTTCTCTGAGCTGGATGGTTCATTTGTGAGTGAAGGTCTGCCTTTATTTGCCTATCAGTTAGAAAAGATGAAAAAACAAATGGCTTATGAATCATGGTATAAAATTCGCTGTTCATAATTTATTAACGGATGTTACGTAATGTATAGTCCCTCGGTAATAATATTTCTCTCACATGTTGTTCAAGTACTTTGATCATTGAGTATTACAAAGCTGTGATGTGATTAGGGTTTTCCTCGATATTATTTTTGACAAATCAGACATCTGACGTTACAGGGAAGTGTATGCGAATCACTTTACCGAATCTAACTAATTTCTAAATGTAATTATCTAATCAATTGCAATACTAAACATCAATCGGAAGATTCAAGCAACCAATACAAAAATGAAATAATAGCTTCGGTCAGCGAGCATCTTTAGGTGAAGTGACGGCAACAGTACTAATTCATATTGTGATCTCAAGATGTATTTCGTATTTGTATCTATCAAGGTGCAGACTTTAGAAAATAACATTCACAAACATAATGTTCTGTGATTGTATATACTACATTATAAGTAGTCTTACCGTGATATGAATTATTTCTATTTAACCTTGAAAAATGTTATTTTCATGACGAATATGTTAGGGATAAAAATAATATACTTGATTGTTTCGTGTCAATAAGATTTCAATATGTGTAACTTTCGTTATGGTGAGTCTGCTTTTTATGTTTAACATACATAAGTCACCTTTTGCTAGAATGTGATCTAACGAAGGTAACTATTTTTCAGTTGCTCAACGGTGTGTAAAGTTTTTTAAGTAGATTTCTTGAGAGATGTGTTTTGTCGAAATTTATTTATTTGTTGCATTGTAGGTTTAACTGATATATATATATATATATATATATATATATATATATATATATATGCTTTTCAGAATATAAATTTACGTCCAATATGTTAGCCATCTTTAATTCACGTATATATACATGATTTGAGCATTTAACCTACCAGTTTTTCTGACGTAGGGTTTTGGATAATGTTCGCTTCATTTGTCTGTAATTACGTTTCGAACTTGACTTTCAGTCATTAAATCATAATCCCAGTCTTGGCAGTCTGATAACGTATGAAGTTATCAACAGTAAATATAATTCAACACGAGATACGCTATCTGAAAACGAGTGTAGAATTGATGTAGCGTTAGGACATATTTGCCAATAAATACGTATTTCATTCATTCAGTTCCTTGTCTAATTACCCACACAGAGTGTATGATTTCTTTTGCTCATACTTACTACCTCGACCTGCCTTAATTTACACATTTCTTTTAAATCGTTTATCTCAATCCTTGACTACAGGTGTGTAATACATGTTTTAGTTTCAAACTTAATCCTCATCTATGAATGTTATCCAATTTGTGATTGTGAGTGCTTGAAGCACTTCATAAAATGTTTACTTGTTATTACAAGAACTATAAAACATTTCTTGATTTTTTCCAGTTACTAGTTTGCTTTTTTCACGTTATATTTATGTTCTCACTTTTCTTTTAACAATATAAAAAAATACAGTGGATCATGGATTTTCTAGGTTGCAACCTTCTCGGAATTTGGTTAGGCATGAAAACAATCAATTATTTAAGCATGAAACCGTATCATTGGCGAGGCATGTGGAATATCCCCAGTTACAGGTCATTTTTATTTATTCTGATTTTATTATTGAACTACATTAAACCTGATTTATCGTCCCTTTCTCTCGAAGTTCACAACACTGCTAAATTTAACAATTAAAATTTGTTCGTTCTTTTGTGGGGAAGAGGCGATTCAGCGTGATCATCGCCTCGCACCAAAAACTGAAGCTGGGAATATTAATATTCGGTCTCGGAGTACCATCAAGCTCTCGGGTTCGAACCCTGGCAAATTCGACTGTGAGGACTGTTGAAGCGTCCTAAAATAGGGTGAATTAGTTGTTAGTGCATCTTGGTTTTCGATGATTCAGCATCTCAAACCCGTGTCAAAAACTGTCTGAACAGTCAAGATTAATATTATTATTATTAATGGCTTTATTCAATATTATATTTTTGGTACAATATAGAATTCTCAGCTACCTTTGAAAAATCGGATTTTTAAACTTCAACTCGTGAAGTTTTTTTTCGATCTTGCCATCGATTAGAATTGTTATTTTCGAATTTGACTATGTATTTGAAATATTTATTTATGTGCACCGTCGTTTTCAGCAGTTCTAACAACTACTTTGGCGTACTGGCCTATCACTCTTTGCATATCCCGTAGCTCTTACTGTTAACTAGCTCTTCCCTATCAAAACATCAGCATGTAATTTTGTGCAACTCAAGCTATGATAGTTCAAATGTGGGTCATTTGTGTGTGTGTTCAGTATAAATCCCTGGTTATATTAGCTATTTTTTCGCGTTTTATCAGTTCCATTCAATTAATCAGTCTGTCAGTTGTACGCAACGTGGAATCTCACACATATGCATCAGTTCAGGTTGCCATACCACATTAGCACAGCAAGATGAAAACATTTCAAGACAAGGCCCAGAAAGGTCAGAGCAGTAACAGTATCAGTACTAGTAGAAAAGATGAGGTACAAAAAAAGGAAACAAAGATATAACGAGATTCAGATTCTAAATGAAAAGTAGTAAATGTACCCACGGTATTGTGAATGATTCTGACCCAAGTCACCCCTAGCTTTTCTGCAACCACCGTCAAGGTATGCGGTGGATAAACATACGTAACACATGTCCTGACCAACTCAGTTGGTAAACACTTACCACCTCATCAATCGATTTGGTATGTTTGCCTAGTGCCCTATGCCTAACCTCAGGACCGGTCACTCGGTCGCAAAATAGACGACCGATGCTTCGAAGACACTTTTGATCAAATAATAATAGCCTGCGAATATCCTCTACTCTTTATGACCATGTTTCACGTCCATAAAGTAGAACAGAGCGAACTAATACACAATAAACTCAGCCTTAGGTTAGGAAATGGATGTTCCGCTTAAACCAATAGCAAGGTGTATCTATAATGTTCAGGAAACTGATGTTCCTGTTTATATCTACCTGGTTACATATACCCAGTTTTATAAGAAATAGTTTTCTTCAAGTTTGAACATTTTCCTAGTCACTGGACTCATCTGGGTTCGTTATTTCCTTTTCCTAAAATTCATAAAGTGAGTGCTTGAAAGTACTTTGACATTTCGCTAACTTGATGTGAAATTCCGCACTTATTTTTCTCTGTAACTACTGTTTCTTTCACAAAGTAATTAGGATGAAATAAAACAAAATATAATCTACTGATGATGTATCGAAAACCTACTGTTACCCAGATCAAATGATTAAGAAAATATTTTTAGATCACCTAGTGACGCTGCTTGGAAATGTGTTTTATAGTCTGTTTTTTGGAAAAGAAATACAGGATCAAAGCAGACAACATTTTGGCTTAGTTGCTAGGACTCTAAAGTGAGAGCGGAATATTCCACGACGATTCATTTACAGAGTAATTCTGAAATAGTATAATTGACTAGCGCCGAAAATTATTGTTATGCGATTCGGTAACTTAATGACTATAATTCCATTCATCTCTCTACATTACCTTATACAGAGGCAAACTTCGTAGAGTTATGTTGCAGTTTACCCCTCGTCGATGGACTGATTTCGATTGGCGTCCGACTGGAAGTCTAAAGAGATGGTTAGGGACTTTGGTTCTTGCGATTGCAGTAAGTATTGTGGTTTTTTGAATGTTATACTATAATCATTGTTGTTTTGCGTCAAATTATCATCGCTTATCCGTCTAAAGCAATAAATTTACGACTAAAACACGATCTCTTTAGTGGTCATCTATTCTTGTCGATTATATCAACATTATAAAAAGACAATTTTGATATACAGTCGCTATTTTTTAACCAACTACTTTACTTTTTTACTAAAACAATATTACTTCTTATCCATGGAATAACTTGTTCTGAATATTGCTAAATTTCATCAGTTAGGACAAAATACATTAAATCATCGAAACGATATGACTATTAGTTTAAATCTTGCCATGACCTCTGTCCAAACACAGAACCAGACTAAACCAAACAAAGGAGCCACAGTATGACAACTACCACAGTGAAGTAATGTAAAGTTCCCTGCAAACAGTTCATTCTTATTTTTGAACTTAATTACGGTAGTCAGTCAGTCAGTAACAACGTAGAACTTCGTACGTACGTACATCAGTTCGAGTTGCCACATCACATTAACACATAGATGCAGTGGTCGATTCAAATCCCGTAGTGGTAGAGGTAATAAGAGTATAAGCAGTAATCGGGAAAATTAGTGTTTGGAGATGTTATTTAAAGAGTATAATACAGTGAAATAAATTTGGGAAGAGAAAAAAAGAGACAAGGAGGAATAAAGAGATCAAAATTTGGGAGAACACAAAGAGTGGATGCACCTGCGCCATTGTAAACAATTTTGAGCCATGTCATTCAGGGTCTCTAACCATCGGTTGCTATCATCTCGTGGTCCTCAACCAGGTAGTCTACACCTACTAACATGACTCAGTCCACTTGTCAGTGACTTCATGGACTTGTACCATGTTTTGGTCTGGCCGCCCTTACCTTTCTTCCAACCTACTCCTATACCAGTGAACATCGCACGTCCAGGCAGTCGGTGGTTGGGCATACGTAACACATGTCCCAGACATCTCAACTGATGAAGTTTCACCACTTCATCAATTGATTTGCCATCCTTACCTAGTACCCGTTTCCTAACAACTGCGTTACTTACTCGATAGTCCCAGGATATACGAGCAATATTTCGAAGACACCTATGATCAAATACTAGTAACCCACGAATATCCTCTACTCTTACCCGGTCATGTTTCACTGCCTTAAAGTAGGACGGAACGAACTGCTGCGCAGTAAACCCGTCCTTTGGTTGATAGACGGATATCTCGCCTACGCCATAAATGACGCAAGTTGGTAAAAGCTAATCGAGCCTTCTGTATCCGTGCTGAGATTTCGTCACAGTAGACCTATGCCTTATAATTATTTTCACAATTTTTAGATACTTACAGCAGAATTGAATACTTTTTACTTGAAATTCGTACTTTGGGTACCACCTCCTCACTTTTTGTGTCTTGGACGTCTAATCTTTCTGACTTTGATGGGAGCCACTGCTATTCGTGAATATTTTGAATACCTTGATGATCCGTAAGTGAATTCAGTAGAGTAAAATAATAGAATTTTTATGTCATTATTTTTGAAAAGGTCAACACATATTTACAGACTTTCAAAATATGAACTTTTTCATAATCAAGCCATAAGGACTAGGTAAGATTAATAAGGACGTATAAGGAGCGATTTCGAGTTATAATCGTATCGAATTTTAGGAGCATCTCAACCAATTAACTTGGCTCCTTAAAGAATGTAACTGAAGATTCGTTAGACTCCATGTAACCATTATTTGATGAGGTTGTACAACCACAGAACCTTTCCCATTAAAAAATCGCTTATCTGTAGTAATTGAAGATAAAATTCTAGGTGATAATCAATGTCAGTTTGGTTGTTTATCATCACTGTTGCAGAGTTCCATACTAGGATGGCAAAATAATAATTTAGTGCCTCTTAGTTCTAGTGATATTTGCGGTTACTTTTTCACGAATGAGAACAACTAAAAACAACCGGTCTTGAAAAAACTATGATCGTGTCTTCACTAGTGAATCTATTTGAAATCTACACCTTGAGTTCCGCTGGAAAATTGTGACTGATGGAAGATACACTTGCTGGAAATAAAACAGTTATCACTAGCAATAACACTAGGTGCTGTACCGTGAATGTAATATCACCGGGCTCGCAGACAACTCAATTGTCCAGTGCCTCCTGCTAACTCAACTGTATCCAACTATGATGTATACTACTCACGAATTAAGCAAGTCTCCACAAACCAATTCAACTAAACTTCACACTGTTGCAGGGAGAGAAAAGCTCTTAAATCTTCTGATGATCAAATCAAACAAGTGAGATTTAGTAAAGCTTGTGAATAGACGTATTCTTCATTAACCTTTTACATTCGTATAACTTCCAAACAGACAAGAAATCTACCATTTAGTAAAAACAAATGGAGAACATCTACCTTATTATCATTGTACTTCTGTAAATTAAGTGCCAATGTGCATGTATATGAAAACTGTTTGTACTCTATAAATTACTGATTCTCAGTACTTTTCCCCGTTCCTAGTAAATGCAAACGATTTGGGAGACAAGCATGGATGATTTCAAGCATTATCATAACTGAATTCTTGATAGTAATGAAGTTTGGTTGGGACATAATTACTAAACCATTCCCCAGGCACATATCCATCTTCTGGTCGTTGGTTTTAATCGGTTTAGTATCATGGACTTTCTGGCACTTTTATATTGTACCTTGGTTGTTTCGATCGAGTCGCGTATCGAAAACTGGGAAACCAGTAGAAGAAACTATTCCAAATCATCGCCTACAGAAGGTTGAAAGCCCTGTTGTTTATAGACGTAATGCTAGGTCATCAGTAAAGTTGTTAAATCATTCATAGTTTCTTTTCCCTATCTATGAAGATGATTTTATCACATTTTTTAAATAGGGAATTTCAGAAAAAAAATTTGTGACAAACATGTGTTTTTATTTAACTTTATGGCCGTTAATATCATTCACGGGTTCGTAACGTCCAGAACCATAAACTGCGATAAGTTCATAAAAAAAGAAATAATACCTGACATCATACTGTTAGTTTTTGACACTCTAAAAGTAAACATACATACTTTTGAAACTGACAATACACAATGAAATTTGGTATCCTGTTTTGAATAGTATGAAATCCAACCACTGCTATATGCCACTAAAATATTTTAGGTCAAACAAGCTAGGAACTAATCCCTTCACACAGCTAAATTAGGTTACATTCGTGCTTTTGGTTCTCGTTTTAAAAATTTCTGAGTAGACAGTGGGAACTGTGCTGTATCAAAGTCTGGGTCGTTCGTCAAACGTACTGCTAGTCGATCTGAGACAACTTCTCTCAAGGAGTTTACGAGTTCAATGTCTGCGGCAGGTAGCCTTCTGAGTCTCGACCTATATTTATCTTCTACATCACTATTCGAATATTCGTTCGTCTTCTCTTTATTAACGTGATCACTTGCAACAGCATCGGATAAGCATTCTATGAATAATTGATCAGGTGATTGAAACAAAGATGCTGAGTGTTCTTGCATAACCTATTTGAACAGTATAAAAAATAACGAACATGAAGTGATTAGACACTGGGATATATAATGCGAACAAAGTCATCGTGAAAATTTTTTTGGCATAAATTAACTTCTCCAACCTCTAACAGCCGTCAAGAAAGAGACTAGACATATCTCAGAATAATAAATAGAATAAGGATCCCCAAAATGTTGTGCCAACCAGAACGTAGAAGTAGGCATCATGCAAAAATAGAGAAGAGAATACATCTCAATGGAATTCTTTCTCGTTTCAGGAAATGCAAGTTAGAAAGCGACCTAATTAGATTACTTATCTATTTTATACAACAGTCTTAACATCAATTTCTGAAACTATGGAGGAATTGTTTATTGACTTTGCCGTGTAACTGAGATTTTCCAGTTTGAGTGACTCGTACTTTGGTGCACTAGAGTAGAGATTTCATGGCATCTTTCGAGCCTACACAAAACGTTTCCAAATTTAACTTCCTCCTATTACCCCTCGCGGTGGAGCATAGGCCGTCGATCAGGATTCTCTATTGAACTCGGTCCTGAATGATCCTTTCTAGTTGCTATTTATTCTTTTGATGTCTGCTTCTAGTTTACGACCTAGTGTCTCTTGATCTTTCTGTTTCCTTCAGGTTTCCAAGTTGAGGTTGCAAATGATATGTGTTTTTAGTAAAAATGTTTAACCCTACATCGTAATGAAAATATGAGGCTTCATTAGTTCGCATTTCAAAATATTTGGCCTTCTCTAACCGATGTAGTTACAAAAGATTAAACGCTGCTTAAATAACAGTATCGCCGTTGGATGTAAGCGATTTCTTGAGGACGAAAGTCTGTATATATCGCTGCCGTATAGTTTATGGGACGCAGTGTTATATATATATATATATATATATATATATAAGGGAAAAATAAACATAAAGTTTACTACCTTTCGTCTTTTCGCAGGCATGCCTGCTATATATCCATCACTGAATCGCCCGAATTGATTAGGATCATCAGTAGTTGGAAGGTTATGTGACATAGCAGATATATCGCTGGTGACTACATGAATCCAGGCAGGAGGTAAAACAGCGTGCCAACCTTCTGTTTCATTTGTAACTGATAGGTCATTACTCATAGGCAGAGTAGCATTCGGATTAGGGTCAAGTCCATTTATCCTACTATCAGGCAATTCTCCTGGTTTCGGAGTCCAATCAGGTAAGGAGGATATTTTTGATTGTAATTTAAGCTGACCAGTAGGCACATCATTATTACTTTTTGAAACAGCTGACATAGGACGGTTCATTTCATCCGAAGGCAAATCAGAATATGCGTCTACAAACGGTAAATCATCACCATGCAAATCTTCATCAAATACATTTCGTTGGATTTCACCACTTGACTAAAAGAAAATAATGAACATTCATGTAAGGGGAATTTGATTTGTATGTAATATAAATAATTCACGTTTCATCATATTTACACATTCAATCCACTTGTAAATACAGCTTATAAATTTACCAGACCACCGCTTTACTATGTTCGCATGATCATCTAATATTATATGTGAAATGAAAAAAAAGGAGACTAACCGGATCAACCATCATAGGTGAAGGGATTTTGGATTTCCTGAACTCTATATATGAGGACTTTTGGTGTGTCACCTTGGCACGTAAAGTTGTTTCATCCATATCACAGTACGATTTAATACAATTCTCAAAACCTGTTATAAAGTCTTGAGCAAAGTCAAAGTTTTCATCATCTATAAAAATTATAAATTGAGAAAAAAATGAACAACAATTTAATGAAATCAGAATAGGGATTTGTGGAAATTATAGTAATTTTAATAGCTGAATTCATGAGTCAATACAAGTATTTAATAAAATATCATACTGGAAATGACGTATATCCTCTTTACATCACTAAGGATTTTTGGGAAAATACCAACTTTTTGCAGGTGTCCGACAGGTCATGATAAAATACTTTGTTTGTCGTTTACCTCTATCAAAAAATGTCCTTCGAAATAGCGTTTCTGCAAAAACTTATAATTTGGCTCAGGCAGGTCAATTATTTCTAGATTTTAAACAACCATTGCCACTACCACTAGATCTTGGGATGTCCTTGAGAACCAACTATTCAGAACATGGCTTTGTAGAGTTTGATTTAACTGCCGGTGCAGTTTTAAAAAGTGCAAAATAGCCAACAATTTGAAAAACATTTTTCAGCTGATATGGACCAAATTTCCAAAGGAGTACGATATATTTCAGTGGTAGCGATGTGGAGTTGTTTAACAACACTTAGTGACGCCTAGAATAACTTATAAACAGTTGAAAGGATTGGTGAATAATCAGCTCAGTTATCAGTTAGTGTAAAACAGCCTATACACTTACCCTCATTCGCTTGCAAAAATGAATTTAAATGATCCAACAACATATCAAAGCCTGTAGTGATGCCAAACATTTGGTTTCGAATTCCTTGAGGACTTTCAGAACTTGATTCAGTGTGTAGTTCAATACCCAAAGAAGAAGCAAGATGATTTGTAAGGATGTCTGTTAAGCACAGAAGATCTGTACAAGCAATCTTCAGAGTCATCAGTAGGGTATTACCGAATCCGGTATTCGTTGGACTGGCTCTCCACAAATCCAATTGCGAAGAAACAATATACTTAAAGAATTAAAATGTAAATGAAAATTTACAAACTATAGTATTTAATTAAAGGATAGGAAATAATTGATAGATACATCAGTTATAAAATGACTTTAGAAGTGTAAACTATTAAATCTGTAGGTAATTATATTAAGGTTCCCAAAAGGCTACAGACGTTTAGACCATTGTGACAACTAACTAATTAAATCAACCAATATAACAATTTCTACAACATTAAAATCCAAAGTAAGACCACGTTAGTATTGCTAAAGTTAGTTGCCAACACTGATAATGTCAAATGAATTCTCACTTCCTTATAATTATTGATGAAACACATCATTGTGACAATTAGCAAGTAATTCAGTTGCATGCATCTGAAAAAAAGTATCTGTGCTTGCCCTAAAAGTCATTAAAGTGTTAACACATTGATCTGGACTAGGCAAACGAGATCTAGTCAGTCATAAACAACAAACATCTGAGTCGGCTCACGTCGCCACATTGAAAATCAAGTGGGAATATAAATTAGAATTCATTCGAATTAAAGAATAAGAACTTATAAATAGCTTTTATAACCAGCTGGGATCTTACTCTTAAACAAGAAAAAACGAATATGTAAAAAAACAATATCAAGACTTATGAATACCTTACCCTACATAATTTGGCAAATGATGCTGTTGTATCAACCAAGTGTTCAGGGAGATTTTCACCAAAATTTCTTAACCATGTTGCGTATTCACTATGAGAAGCATCTGACAATCGATCTCTAAAAATAACACTAACTAAACAATTAACAAGTTCTGTTTGATTGTTCCCCAAAACTGACTCAGCCCAGAAAAGGTGATGTTGCAGATGTTCACGTAAACCATCCAAAGAGGATGAAGTGATGTGGCCGCAGCTTTGAGTATCAGGATGCTCATTGACTTCATTATGAATAGCGGTAATAATATCACTTAATAACCCAACGGATACACTTCGACCACGTGATGCGCTATTCACGGAATAATTTTGATCATTTACATCTGAAGAATAAATGAAATAACAGTGAGAATATTGAGAAAAACTACTTAACGGAAAAAGTATTTGGGGTTTTGTCAAAAACCGCTTTACAGTAAGTACTCAAACGTACAACCAATAATATTGTTGTTGAATCGGCTTCCAAGAACTACAACGGAGCCGAAGAGTTTCAGCCAATCAGAGCATGAGGGAGCTTTCTAGAGTATTAACGTGGCATGCTACTATTGGTCAGTAGCATAATATGTCTCTTCGCGTACTGGCCAAAATACAAATGTTGATTTGAAAAATGCTAATAATCTATAAATACCCGTGTTTTTTTGTACAAAAATGAACCTTCGGAGTAAAGTGCTTTTCACTTAATTTGCGCCTTTTCTCTCGTGTTCAGGTCGCTGTGTAGTTCTAGCTTGCGGGTTACCAGAATAGCTTAGGAACCGAATAAAGCGTTCAAATTAACAGGACTTATCAATGATAAACTCACATTCGCAGGCAGCCATTAACTCTGATGATGACTGGGAAATCCTGGACCATACTGTTTTAATCAATCCATCTATGAGTACACTGAAGATTTGAAATACACCTCTAAGCTGTGATTGATCGATTTCATTAGATACCCAAGATGGCTTAGTTTGAGGAAAAACTCCTAAATGATACGACAGAGATTGAGAGAATATAATTAAAAAAGTATACGAATTTAATGAAATAAATTCCCGAGGATCATAAATGCAAAAATAAAGACAATCGGCTTAGAAAGTAACAACGGTGCGAAATGACAAGCTGGTATCATTAATGTATTAATACTTAGTAAACTCAAATTTAGAGTATATTGATTTCTTCGGTTT